TCAAAAAGGGAATAGACTGATTAACTTGTTATCAAATCAGACACACACTGCCTGTACATAAGTGTGGGCTTTGCTGGCTTTATTCCTAGAACAAACTCCTCAAGGAATGCATAAAGGTGCCTCTGTGATGTTTTGTATTCTAGATTCAGTGCATAGAATACACCTAAGAGGGTTATTAACCCCAATGTAAACTTGAACCTATTGTCATTGATCTCTAAGAATATTTCTTTATCTAGAACAACAAAAACTTGTGTGCTTTCCTCATCCTCGTCCCTTCTGCACAGCAGCCATGGCCAATCTCCAAGTTTTCTTTTGCAAAACTGCTCTATATCTGAGTTTTCTTCCTAAAAAGTGGCAAGTGTAGAAAATGTTAATGTCATATAGTGATTAAAGAATGGCACACTCATTGTTGCAGTTAATCATCTTGCTTTTTTGCTTGAAATGGTGTACAACAAAGAGAGGGAGTGGAAAAATCAATTTCTTCTGACTTCTCCCCTCTCTCTAATTCTCTCTCTCCATTAATCCCCTCTGGTAGCAGTATTTGTATGACAGTCAAAAAAAATGTGTTTATGTACATTAGGAATCAAGTCACTTACCTGCATAAAAATAATAATTGCCTCACACTTGCGAAAACTTAAGTGAAGGTGTTCCAACACATATCCACTCAGTTCATCTAAAGATTGAAGAATGATTAGGAATTAATAATTCATAAGGTTAAGGTGAAGACAATCTCAGGCCAGTGAGGCCCTCAAACACATCAGGTTTCATATTTCACTAACAATAACTCATTGATCTGTTTTTCATCTGAGCAGAGTGAGGCAATGTAAAAGTAAAGCCGATCTTAGCTTGCCCCCAATTAAGAACATGACGCAAACAAGAGCCAGCACTGGGAATAAATGTCATTATGGTTGTATGCAAATAAGAACACCTTTTGTTGTGAAGATCATCCAATTTTCCCAGAAAGTTGTCTTGCATGACACCTTTAAGTCCTATAACCACTGACTACTAGACCCATCAMATCCTCAACATTTTATATGTAGTACTGTCACAATACATGTGGTTTCATGAATGTGAATAAATGTAAATGTAATATAAARTACATATTACTGTAAATTACCTTCAGCAAGATCTAAATCAGTCCATTTAGTTCGTTTTATAGTTTCCAACCAGTTGCTTATWAGGTTGTCTAAGGTAACTGTATTGTCAGTAGGCCTGCTGGTTCTGATGTGGAGCAGAAGTTCATTTTGTATCTGTAAAGCAAAATCAAACAAAATTTTTACATATCTCAATCACTTTATAAGTACTGATGCACCAATTAGAAAACTGTCAATTGGACAATCTGAAACCTGATGCGAGTAGAAATGTATAGATTTTTTCTTGTCTCAAGGGCAATGTTTTCCCATTTCAAACATATTGTCATTAATTACCTGAAGTATTAAATTTCTTTGYTTAATGGCTTATGCACTATAACAAGATACAGATATACAACTCAAACAAAGAATCTGATCCTCCTGGGAATGTCGTGGTTTTAAATAAAGAYTAAGATAGCCAACCAACAATTCTTTCAAATAAGTGACTACAATGTGTTTAGGAAATGACACTTRCCATGAAGTCCTGTTTTAAAAAGGGAAATTCAGCTATAATTTCTTTGACATTCATCTCTTTCTCCACGATTTGTTCTTCCCTCTTCTTAAAGGTTAACTTTTGCATCTCTTGGATGGCTTTTTTATTAGAATTTTTTTTCTTGCAGCTTTCTTTTAGCAGTTCAGCATTGAGATTGTCGTAATCCTTTTCCAACAGATTTACTGATGCAGCTTCCTTACTTTTATCCTTCTTGTCGYCAGCTCTAGACCTGTAGGCTTTGCTGTTGCTTAGCCTCTTCCTTAGCATGTAAAGGACTGARCTCTAGGTGAAAAATCATGTAAAAGATAAGGGTAAAATTTAGGACATGTTGATTCTCATAATTTATGTATTACTTAATATGCACAGTTCTGTTACTTGCATTATGCCAAATTGACTTAATTACCCAATAAGGAAACTGTTTGTCAGTTGCGAAACTTGGAGGCATGGGATCCTTCATCACAGGGACCTCATCACAAATTTTCCTGGCTGCAATTATCATTACTGGCTCACTGTTGGACTGGATCAGCTACCAGTGCCTCTAGGCAAGCTAGTGCCTCTCTTATCAACCTTYGCTGGGCTGTACTGTCCATCCTTGAGTCCATGGGTTTTGCTTTTGGAAGTGGAAACTTGAATGTCTTGTACAGTTCTGATTCATCTGGGACGTCTGTATTATTACTACTTTCCGTGCTACATTTTGAGGATATGCTCAATTC